GGAGTTTGAGGTTGCTGTGAGCTAGGCTGACGCCACAGCACTCCAGCCCGGGCAACAGAGTGAGACTCTGTTTCAAAAAAATAAATAAATAAATAAATGTGCTCTTGCTCAAGAGCTTATGACAGAGTTCCTGATGTCATTAAGGAGAAGAGAGCTTTGCCAGACACTGTTTTGTTAAATTAATTAGTTTGGCTCTGAGCTAAGGTGTCAAGGTCAGATCATCCGAGAAACAGAGCTTCATGTTCTTCTTGGTGTACATATGCAAAGATCTATGTTCACAAAGGAGGAGGAGTTTTAATTAAAAGGAAAATCATGTATCTTAGATTACATTACATTGCTAATTAAATAATCAAAGAAAAATTATCTGCAGCACCCAGAGGACTGCCTCTAAACCAGTCCTTAGTGTTTAAAAACAGCAGCAGTCATCAAATCTAATGGTAGTGTTTTTGCAGAAACTTGACACATTTTCCCCTTGAACATGGGCTTGAAAACTTACCACACACTTCTCTGGGATTTTTATTATATCTGCAATCAAACATTTTTCCATGGGAATACATTCATGAGATTGCTTCACAAGGCGAAGCAATAAAGACACACTTTTTTTTTTTTTGAGACAGGGTCTCACTCTGTCACCCAGGCTGGAGTGCAGTGGCATCATCATAGCTCACAGCAACCTCAAACTCCTGGGTTTAAGTGATCCCCCCGCCTCAGCCTCCCAAGTAGCTGGTATTACAGGTGCACACCACCACGCCCAGCTAATTTTTCTACTTTTTGTAGAGACAGGGTCTTGCTATGTTGCTCAGGCTGGTCTTGAACTCCTGGGCTCAAGTGATCCTCCTGCCTTGGCCTCCTGAAGTGCCAGGTTTATAGGCCTGAGCCACCGCACCTGGCCTGAGACATGTTTTCATCTTCAGAGAGATGTGCTGTCTCCTCCCTCTATGGAACCAACCTATTGGGCCGGGTGCTCTGCCCTGGCCTCGCCCTCTGACGCAGCCACCGCTCACTCTTTCCCTCCTGTGCCTTCTGAGCCCTGGCTTTGCTGGCCTTGGCCCCAGACTAGAAGAAACCTCCTCAGTGATGGACTGAGGCACGAAGATTGTTCATGTGGTGCTGAGTCCCTGAATATACAAGCGACTCAGTGGTCTCACCTTCTCCAGTCGAATCCTCTCTCCACATGCAACGTCTGGTCCATTTTCGACTAAGATCAGGTCTTCGGAGGTCACCTTCCACTGGTGGCCAGCAAAGTGCACCACAGCAAAGAGCCTGCCGTACTGCCCAGTGGCAATGAGCTCGTTCACCTTCCCCACGACCTCTGTGGAGAAAGGCGGCTGGGCAGTCACCCATGGCTGCTCTCCCCTACACCCCCTCTCCCACTCTCCTCTACTGCGGTGTCCATGGAGTTCCCAGCAGAGGGGCCCTGGGGTGCACGTGACAGCTTACCCCTTGGGAGCACCTCACTGGTGGCCACCCAGCCCTTGCTGGCCCATCCTGCAGGTATAGGCACCAGGCTCAGGGTCAATCTGTAGTTCCCAGGAGCACAGGCACCTTGGCACATGGGGCTTTTAAGGACGGAAGCTTCCCCAGACTTCAGAGTGTCCAAACCACTTTCTCCAGTTCTCTGGCCTGAGCACTCAGCATGCCTGGCTCCATTTACCAGAGGCCAGGGACATGTGCGCCGGGAAGTGAAAGGAGAGGCCTTCTGCAACAAGGAATACCCAGAATCCTGTCCCCAAGGGCTGCGTGGATTCTGTCTGCATGCCTCTTTCACGCAGGCTCCGTGCTCTGTGCGGGCTGCCCCTGCCCTGGCGCAGGTAACGATCCCCTATGCCCTGCACCATTTACTCTGAACAGCACCTACTGACCACCGCCCTGCCGGCCTGGCCTGGGGCTGAGTACAGAATGAACACAACATAGTTTCTGCCCTGGAATGGGAGCCCAGACCAGAAGCTGCACCTGGCAGAGGACGGAAGTCTCGGTGTATTTATCTTGCACAGTATCTGAAACAGTATTTTAAAATACTAGGAGATTCCACCCAACAGCTAGATTTCCAGCTTTTTGGAAAAGTGAGGATTATGGCAATAGTGGCTGGCCATGCTGTCCCTTCTCAGGACACACGCACAGGTTGAAATGACTTCTGACACTCCTGCATGTTTCTCCCACAGCCAGCGAGGCACCAGCTTCTGTTCATAATCGGGCTTAATTGTTCTTCTGACTGGGAAGAACTGTCCCCGAACCCCATGTTTCTACTCACAGTGGGTGACAAGAGATGGACCAAGCGCCCCCTGCCCTCACCCATGCACGTACGTGCCTGCAACAAGGGGCTGGGGGGAGCGCGCTCAAGGAGTGCGTATTACATGAACAAGCACTTTAAATTTTGGTGTTAACTGGCAAAAACGAACATGAGTGCTCACCCTGCTGTGTCTAGGAGCTGTTGGAAAGGTGACATCCTTGCTCTGTGACCTGGCACCCCCTTGGTCGGTGACCAGGGTGGGGGCGGCACTACCCTCTGGTTTGTCTCCCAGGGAAGCCTTTTACCTGTGTGGTGTCTGGTCTCCTCAACTGGGTCTGGCAGGACGACTTCTGGCCAAGGTGGTGAACTCAGGGATGTTTTAGGAACATATCTGTGAAAAACATTTAACACATGCATGTCACACACATGTGAAAAGGCAGCTCAAAATCCCTTAGAGCCTGGGCACGGTGGCTCACGCCTGTAATCCTAGCTCTCTGGGAGGCCCAGGCGG